AAAAAAAGTCTTGCTTATAAATTAGTTATAAAAACATCACTTCCTATCTATGGATAGAAACAATAGCAAAATATGATAATTCATCCCCCTCATTACAAAAATAGTTTATAGAAAATGATAAACTTACAACCCTCAGCTCAGATACGTGAAGACAAAAACTTAAAAGGGTGTCGAGAATGCTCTTTATTCTTTCATTTGAAGATCAAAAACTTAGATATTGATGCCTAAAACATAGAAATGTTAAGGAAGGCTCTTAATACTAGTTGTAAAACAAGCCTTTCACTCTTATCCAAAGATCAAAGGACAAATAAGGAATACAAACACAAACATTCAAACATGCAAAAACGAAGAACACACACAATAAGAAAGAGTTCCCCAATGATTCAATCCACACAAGATTGCAAATTTGAACTTATATCGCAAGCCTTGTACATATAAAAGATGTAGGCTTAGTTAACAATAACAAAAGACCAATTAGATCTTTAAATGTCAATTTACTTGGAGTATATTATTCATTGTTTATAAAGACGAAGAACTTGGTTTAAGAGTAAATTTTTGTCTTCAAAAGAAAAAGGAGAGCTGGAGATTCAGAAAGTTGTGGTACAACAATATTTTTATGGGTCCAAAAACTATTCCAAAAGTGTTTCTTTTTTGCTAAGCATCTGTTGTCATAACTAAATACATGGATTCCATAGCTCAATATTTTGCCTCATGTATTCATGCATAAGTCTCATAATCTGTGCTAAATTCCCTAATTTCCTGGTTCCCATTATAACAATGCAACTTTGAGATGGATGACTATCCTGGTACTTCAGTTTAGGAAAGAAAAGGCATAAATAACAGTAAGAAAAGCAACTATAAATCAACATTTGAAAAATTAAAAATGGAAAAACTTCTGTTGGAGAACAAAACAAACTTTGTTGGAATCATAAACACTCAAACAAAACAACTATGAAGTTCCCTTGATTAAAAACCTGGGATGAAACTTACAAAAATAAATTTGTAATTTAAAAACTCAAACTCTAACCTCCATGACCATCATAAACCCCAAAGAAAGACGTAGAATTGTCCAAATCCAGAAAAGCTGCATGCTGTGGAAGACTAGCATGTATAAGTAATATAATTATAGTAAGTAACAAATATATGAAATCACTATATGGTCATTCAAGAAAAACACAAATTCTGAAGTTTCGACATTTAATCATTCACAACGAAAAAAAAAATCGTAACAAAGTAATTCTACATGTTGCAAAGAAACAAAGCCTTATCAATCACATCAGTGAAACACTAATATAATTTTACACGTTTGAATACTTTAATTAAATTAAGTCCAGTTTGTCACATTAAACTTCACATATCTGTCTTAATCATGTAATAGTTTATAAAATTGCTCCTATTTTTACATGTTTCTACTTCAAATTTTCAAACAACTGCCTATTTCAATATTGTAGTTCAGAAAATACCATGGTACATATTTCTGCCAACAGACAAGAGTTTTTCATGTATGCTTTACTGTTTATCTATTTCAGACATCAACGAATGAACAAAATAATTATATACGTTACTTCTAAAGTGCAGTAATACTCTCCATTCTCATTCAAAAATGCTATCAGTAGTACTGTACATAAACCAGAGCAAATGTTACTGTACCATGTTACTATCTCCAAGACATTTGCATATGCTGATAGCATTGGGAAACTCATATATTACTCTTAATTTCTGAAAAATATGCTATTTATGCCACTTCTTCTAATTTAGGTGAAGAGCATAAGCATGCAGCATCTTGAATAAGTACTGAGAGTAAACTTTTTTTCCATAAGAATTTACAAGGGCTATACTGACTTGAATAAGCTTTGTTTCTTACATCTTAAATTCCCATGCAACTCAAATTTCTTTTTGAAAGATCTCATGAATTACTTGTCAGGAAGTTGCAGTTCTCAAGTAAATCAAACATAAACATACAATCAATAAGCATCCTTAATAAGTGGTAAATCTGCCGGTCATGCAGTTGAAATTCAATTCCTTACATGCACGCGAATACTTGGTTGGTTAAATAATATAAACAGACAATGCACTCACAGCATCTTCCATGGTTGCACGCCAACCCTGCATGGAGGACACGCCATACCGAAGTTGGTCATTTTCTCCATCCTCCGAGGATTTTTCAGTTTTTGGGGAGCTCAGATAAACCCCCATTTCTGGTTAGAATCATATCAAAACCATCAATTGACAAAATCATCTCAAGAAAAATAAACTTTAGGTACGCATACATTCTACTTACGCAAATGTTTGCTGAGATACATACAAATGCAGTAGCAAATGCATTCGACTAAATAAGGCTGTTACAAATGTTAGCTGTATATAAATACATGGGTAAGTACGCAGATATATGCATGCCCAGCTAACAAGAATAATGTTTCTCCACCATGTTCAAAAAAGCTAAGTTAACAAATAAAACAAGCAACGAAAGAGTACAATTTATAAACAGGATAACGTGTCCAGATAACAACAGTAGGGTCCTCATTCAAATCTCGTAATACAGAATTCCAGAAACTGCCCTAATTCCTCATCTAGTCAGCAAAAATGAAAATAAAAATAAACTGAAAAACGACGTTAAAAGTAATCCCGTGGCCAACTTATTTCTGCTTACTCAGAATTATACAGCATTTTCTCGGGAACATGCAGATCAAATACAAACGGAAAAAGAAACAAGGACAAAAACAAAAACAAAAAACAAATCAGTGATAATAATGATTACTAGATTCAATTTTAAAGAACATAATTACCGAGATCGAACGAACTTTAATGAATTCTTAATCGTGTACAAAAACCTGCAAATAATTACGAGAATTTAAGCATATGAAGGAACTCTAGGGTTTGCGAGAGGCAATACTCACATGGCGACAAGAGAGTGGTTAAACACCGGAAGGAAGAGGAAGAGATGAAGGGGAAGGATGATCAGTCTGTTATTGTTAGATTATTGTGAATGACGAAAATATTTGACTTAAATAACAGGAAAGAGTTATTACCATTTGGTTTTTAATCATCTTTACTAATAGGCTTTACACATCAGGTCGTTATCCAAAACCATTAATTAATTCTAAAATTATTTTAATAATTTGTTGATTATGTAAACATTAATTATCTACAGTTAATTTAATTGTTTTTATTTATGTATTTAATTAATAAGATTGAATATATAATTAATTAAATTAATTTTTTTGAATTATTTTTGAAAGTATTCAAACATAATTTAATTAATTTAAATTTTTTGTTTGAATTATTTTTTAAAGTATCCTAAAACTCTACCAAACACTTTCCCAAAATCCAGCCCAGTTCCAAACTTTCACAAGTCCAGTGGTACAGAAGAGAAAAAATAAGCAAGCGGACGAGACATGAGAGAACAGAGAGATGATGGGAGAGATGGAGGGGAAGAGAGGGAAACAGAGGGCTTTTCAGCGATGCAAAGAGAAGCAAAGGAAGTGAGTGGCGGTGGCGTGAAACAGAAGAAGTAAGCGGAATCTCGGCCTGGTGACGATGATTTCAGCCGATGATGGTGAGAACGTTGATCAGTGAAGCCGGAAAGGAGGAGCAAGTGTGGAGGAGGCTGATGATTATGATGATGACTTATCGCAGCCGGAGAGATAGGAGAGGTCACAAAAAGCTATATGAAATAGCATTCGAGCGAGAGAAGCAAAGGGCGAAGATAAGAGGGAGAGAGCGCAAGAAGAGAGGCTGAGAGATTGAGAGGGACAATGGATAGAGAGGATTCAAGTGAGAAACCAAGTGACAGAGATTGAAAATATGAGGGGAAACTGGAGCGGTTGATAGAGGAGAAAACAAAGGAAAGAGGGGGAAAAGTGAGTGGAAAGAAGAGATAGAAGCTTGGAAGACAGAGAGATGAGAAAGAGAAGGAGCTGGGCGAGAGATAGAGAGTGACATAGAGTGGGGAAGACAGATAGAAGAGAGGAAGAGGGAGTTCGAGGAAGGAAACAGAAAACCGTGAAGAGAGAGTGAACGCGTTGTAACGCACAAATAATTTCAGCATTTTTGTTATTATTTTTATTAATTTTATTTATTTAGTTTAATTTATAATTTTAAAAAAAAAAAGCGTCACGTCAGCAGCCATGTCAGCGGCTCAGTCAGTAGTCCTGGCCAACCAGGACCTGCCGCGTGGCAAGACCACGTCGACCAGGGAACGGGCCACGTGGGCGATCCGCGTGCGCGCGATCGGACGGCCCAGATGCGTCCCCGCGCGCACGGACGGCCCAGATCAAGCGTGCGCACAGACGGCCCAGATGTAATCGCACGGATGGCCCAGATGCACGCGCACGGACGGCCCAGATTCAATCAAAAACGGACGGCCCATATTTAATCAAAATAGACGGCTGTGATCAAAAGGCAAAAGGGTATAAATAGAACCCCCACACCTGACCACAAAAACCCTAGCCGCCTGCCCTCGCCGGAGAAGACGAACCAGACGCCAGAGGAGCCAGCCGCCACCACCCGCCGCCGCACCGGGGAGTTTTCCGACCGCCGATCGAGGTAAATTTCATACCCCCGATTCGTTTTTCCACGCTGAGTTCCCCTGTAGCCAAATCGGAGCCAAAATTTCGGCCAAACGGCCGGAAAACACGGCCGAAACCCAGCGGCGCCGCTGCGCCCCTCCTCGATTTTTGCCTCCGATGAGGCCCTTCCCGGCTTCCGTTTGATGCAATTTTTATATCATCGTGATCACCATTCTTTTCTCTACAAGTTGATCGAAGCCGAATCACCAAAACACGAACCTCGCCGGAGAGCCGCCGCACCCGAGAGCACCGCCGCCGGTAAGCTTCGGTTTTTTTGTAATTTTTTGGCCCCCCGAGGACCCTAGGGTTGTTTTATCACAGGGACCGATGCAAGTGTGGCCAAATTCGGTCAGAAACGGCCGAAAACGGCCAACCCGAGGCGAATCGTCGCCGCTTGCGGCGACGCCGTCGCCGGAGCACGGCGGAGCCGCCGTGCCGGAATTGCGATATTGGCTGAAAGCGGTCCTGGGTCTAATTTGGGATTTTTTGGAACACGTGCAGGTACCAATAGTGCGTTTCAATTCCCCGGGAAAAATTCAGGGAAAATTAAGGACAGCTTGTAGACGCACTGTGGAGCCGTGTTCGGACCCCGAAACGAGTAAGGACCCCTCACCCTATTTTCTATCACGGTATTAAAGTTCAATAATGATAAAACGGTATTTCTTGAATCAACGAATGTGTGAAATTGCTTAAGGTCGCTAATGGAGCCCGAGTCTGGTGTGTTTGTCGGTTAACTGTTATTTGGCTATTTTACAGTTTTAAATGCAGTATGAGGTCTGATGTTTTCATTTCATAGTTTCGTGTGCATATTTTACTGTTTTATTGATTATGGGTTGAATGACTGAGAAACCGATGTTGTATGTTGTTTTGTTTGGCATAAATTACTGGTTTGCTTGTTTGAGTGTGAATTGATGATGCTGACTGAGGAAAAATGGGAATGAAAGATTACATAAATTGATAATTGTATAATGTGATCAGCCTGACTAGATATCTTGGGAGATGGTGGACGGACCGGGTCCGTAGGGAACCCTACTGGGATTGTGGTCTCTCATACCGGACGGGGTATGGAGACCTTATGTGTTTTGGCGCCCATACCGGACAGGGTATGGAGACGGCCCGTTTCACCCTCATACCGGACAGGGTATTGAGGTTTATAGTTTTGGCGCCCATACCGGACGGGGTATGAGGACGGCCCTGGAATCTGATTACGAGTGTTAAGGGTTCACGGGTAGCGGGACCCCTATGGAACCCCATAGATACTAGTAGGCTGGTAAAAGAGGAAAAATATGTTGTGTAATGATTGAATTACAAAAAGCGTGATAAGTATTATGTTATACAATTTATAAGATTTCATGATGATGATAATGTTATTGCTTTCGTATATTGTTTTATGAATTTCACCGAGGTAAGTGGATGGTAAAGGATTTTATTATTGATTAAAGAATTTGTTGTAAATTATGCTCCATTAGTCTTTTTGTGTTTTCTACCCACCTTTACCTCCGTGACGGTGAGATATTGTGATGTCTTTACTGGGCTAGTGTAGCTCATTCCTTATTTAATCATTTCAGATCAGGAAGACATTGTTCCCGAGCCCGTTCCGCAGGAAGACGACGAAGGGGACGCCTAAAGACTCCATAGTCATATTCATAGCTTTTACTTTCGAGTTTCTCTTTTAGTTAGTTCGATCTTTTATATTTTGAGCACGTTTTTGATTTTAGTGTAAGGGATGTTGATCAAAATTCTGACTTCGCTTCCGCATTTGACATTTTTAATACACATATTTCATTTTAAATTTCCGGGGCCGTTACACGCGTAGAGAGAGAGAGAGAGAGAAAAATAGCAGAGGTACAGAAAGAGGAGAGGGCTAGGGAAAGAGAGAGAGAAGAGAAACAAGAAGGGGCTTGAAATGTGAGAGATATTGCCAGAGGAAGGAGAGACCGAGAGGGTTAGAGAAGAAACACATGTAGGACGACGAAAGAAAGCATTATGGAGAGAGGAATTTGAGGGAGAAAGGAGAAACAGGTAGTGACGAAAGGGGGGAAGGAAAAAAAAGGAGAAAAAAGGGAGAGTCAGGAATCAGAAGAAACTCTTGAGTTTGCGGGAAAATCTTGAGCTTGTGAGCTAAAGACAAATTTTTCTTTTAGGAATTTGCCATGAGAATCTTTGGTTTACTCAGTTGAAATGAGTTTAGAGTTTTACCAGTCTTCCCTTTTGTTTGATCTGCTCCATGAAGATATATATATATTTATGCAGACTGTTATTTGGAAATGCATGTGAAGCTTTATGGGCCAGAATCAAGGTTGGTTATATCATATTTGTTGATATTTTTGGAAGCTGTTTTGCTTGTGATTCAATGATTAAACTATGGATCTTAAAGGGTTGTTTTCTTCTATTTCAAGGAATTTTTGAGAAAATTTATGGAATTACAGGGCTCTCTAAGGAACCATCTTGAATAACTCATTGGTAGGTGGGAACGAATTGTAACAGAAGATTATGAGTTCATGACAATGCTTTTGGTATGAATAAATTCTTTGTTTTTAGTGCCTATTCAGAATAAAAATATCAAATTAGACTTTTTCTTGAGACAGATAAGCAGTTTTCTTCAGTCTGTTTATGTAGCTTTCGTCGTTTGTGGATCACTTTAATAAATGTAGAAATTTGCAGTTAATGGGGTCCAACCGAAATCCTTTTATTTATTTGAAGAAAGATGATATTTTGAATTTGACATTAACACTTTCTTCTAAATTCTAAGTAAAGTAAATTCTAATAAGTAGTATTATTTTTGAGAATTTCTAATTAAAAAATTAATTTTTAAATAGAACAGATTTTTAACTGTTTAAAAATTGGGGCTAAAAACCCTATTTCGATTAATTAGATTATATTAAAGTCTAAAACTTTAATCTAAGATACAAATCTCATCTGTGTCACTACTGCATTTCTTTCTATGAGCATTTTAAAAAGAATGAACATTTTTCCTCTCCAACCATTTACCTTGAAGAAGATGTGAAAGTGCATTTTTTTTTTCTCTAATAAAGACGTGTTCCGATGTGTGAAGCCGGATAAAAAGGATTTCATATTTATGTTTTTGAATAAAACAATCTTTTTATTTTCTATTCAATAAATAGTATCAAGAATTTAATTTATAATTTAATACTATGTTTAAAACAATAAGATTTAAAATTTTGTTTTAAACTTACACAATTGTTATTGTAAAGTCCTAAAATTTTGGGTAAAATAAACTTAAATTAAAGATGCAGAAGCGTATAATAACGTTAGTGTTTACATTTCTTACACATAAATTAGAATGACTAATAAGGTTGCGAAAATATTTTTTTCATAGATGTTCATAAAAAAATAAAATAAATATATCAAAATAGTAAATAAAATGTTGTAGGGAGGTGTTACCACTACCTCTTGATAGAATCTAAG